TATGTATGTATATATATATATGTGTGTGTGTGTGTGTGTGTATATATATATATATATATATATATATATATAATTATTATTATTTTGAGACAGAGTCTCCCTCTGTTACCCAGGCTGGAATGCAGTGGCACAATCTTGGCTCACTACAACCTCCACCTCCCAGGTCTCAGTGATTCTCCTACTTCAGTCTCCGGAGTAGCTGGGATTATAGGCATGTACCACCACACCTGGCTAATTTACGTATTTTTAGTAGAGATGGGGTTTCACCATGTTCGCCAGGCTGGTCTCGAACTCCTTACCTCAGGTGATCCACCCATCTCCCAAAGTGCTGGGATTACAGGCATGAGCCACCGCACCTGGCCAGATTACATATTTTTTATTTTACAAAAGAGACATGACCTTCAGAAGTGATAAGTGACCCTCCTGGGGCCACCTTACTAGTGCCAGAGCTGGGATGCAGATTCCATTCAGCTCGCCCAGAGCTGAGCTTCTCGCCCTCCACTGCCCACCCCTGCCACCACCGCCCTCTGATCACCTCCCATCAGCACTGACACAAGAAGGCAGAGCACGGCTCGCCTCACCTCAGCTGGGAATGTAGGCATTGAGTGACTCTAATGTCTTGGTTCCCTGCATATGTCCATGAGTGACCACAAAAATGCTGCAAATACTGATTTGGGGGTTATAAATAAATGTTAGGGAGTAGGTGAATTTGCAAAGACAGAACAAAGCAAAGGTGGAAAACAGGGAGTATGGCATTTCTTTGTATCATTGAAGATCAACATCTTAATTTATCATCAGCCTCATAGCCATTGAGAAGGCTAGGATAACATTGAGTCCTTGACCTCTAAGAGATTTTAATTTGGTGGAGGAATTCTTAAAACAGCATTAGCTGAGTCAGAGCCAAAGCGGGGTCAGGCGAGAGGATGGGGAAGGAAGTGCTGAGGACTGAGACAGCAGAGATGTTAGAGTTCCCAAGAGGGGCCATCCCTGAGGGCCAGATTCAGGGGACTTTGGGGGAACGGTCACAGGGGCCGCAACTTGGGGCAGGTTTGGCACGAGGGGTTTAATGTGAGGGAGAGGAAGCCAGCGAAAGGCATTCTGGGCCTCATAGGTCAAGTTATAAAAGTTTCCGTAAAATCTCTGCTGGTGTCTGGGACATATTCAGCCAAGGCCTTTCTTTAGCTGGGAGGGTGCAAATACCAGTTCTAGCCCGGAGTGAAAACAGCTGTGCGTCTCTCATGCGCCCCCTCGCCCCCGTGTCTCTGTTAACTCACCTGCACGTTGTTCAATGACAATTATGCTTTCTGGTTCCTCACCTATTCAAACCCTCAGACTGTAATGGCAAATACATCTCCACAGTGGCAACTAAATGCTGATTTTTGTTCTGCAGAAATCATGGCGCTTTGAGTCATGAAGCTGGCGGTGTGAGGTTTGCTTGGGCAGATCTCCTAGTGTAGGCCAGGAGTGGGTCAGAAACCTGCCTTAGAAAGAACACGGTCTTCAGATGCTACAGGGCAGTGTGGTGACCAGTAGAAACTCCACACTTATTGAGTGGCAAATGGTACAGGTAGGCAGCACCAGGTGGAGTCTTGGGAGGACAGCAAGTGAAACAGGAATGGCCGCAAACAAACCTCTTGAACACCAAACTGGGAAGGAAGGGGTGATTTATTTGGCCAGGAGCTGCAGCAGGCGTGAATGCCCCAATGGCTGAGCACCCTAACAAAGAAAATCCTTGCCCTTTTAAAGGCTTAGGACCCTAGGAATTACGTCTGAAAAGGTCTTGATCCATGAAGTAGGCATGGGGTATGTGACTAGGTGGGGGTCTGACCGTGTTTAAGTAAAAACAATGCCCTCGGGGAAGAGTCCTCCAACCATGCCTGTGATCTACAGGAGTGCGATTAGGGTGGTGCCCGGGTCTGCCAGCCTTGACTTCTCCTATTGAAATGCAATGTAGAAGTCTAGGGAGAAGGGCTCTTAGAAACTTAAGAGGGTTAAGGGTCTCCTTCTTCACAAGGACCAGGCACAGGGAAATGGTGTCACCTTTACCAGTTCCTTATTTTCCAGTGGCACTTCCAGGTCTAGAGGTGGAGTCACTGCCCCTGATTAACCAGCCCCAGGGCACTGCATCAGGCCTGTGCCTTCCCTGTACATTAAAAAAAATTATTAATTCTCCTCATATTAAGGGAAAAAATAGCCAGGTTTTTGAAAGACTCAGGATGAGCAGTAGAAAACTATCTTCCAATGGCTGCCAAAGAAGCATGGTTGATCCTCGGTCTGGACTCATTGCTCTGAGGGCAAAGATGGTGTTAGTTTTCTCTGTAAGATCAAGGGCTAGCAGCCAAACCAACAAGGCAACCTACCAAATACTTTATTTAGTAGTCAAACTCTGGCTGCAAATTCGTAACTAACCAGGCCAAGGGAAAGGCAGAAGGGAGTGAATGTTTGTCCAGGCTCAGCAGGCAATAAGTAGTGCATGCTGTGTCTCTGGGAGAGCTGCAGGCCTCGCTACTGAGGACACCTGACTGTAAGGTTTGCTCCATTACGCCAGCCCTTCAGTTGTTAAACATCTTGTGAATTATAAAGGAATGAAACATACCACGTCCCACAGGCCTTGCTGGTTTGGCCGTGGTGCCTTCTTCCTGCCTGGGGTCTTTACGTGTTGTCCTTCCACTTGGAATGCTTTTTCCCTGTTCTTCACTTGCATAGCATCTGCTTAGCCTTCAGGTTTCAGGCAAATGTTACTTCCTCAGTGAGTTCTGTTGGACTAATAAACTGGGAATGTGTTTGACTGCAAGGGAGAGAAAACTCAACTTCTCAAGCTTAAACAAGTAGGGTTTATTTTCCTAACTTAAGAGGCAGGCAGAGGTACAGAGTGGAGGCTGATGATGCAGCCTGATGATGTTGTCAAGAACCAGTCTCTTTCTGTCTTTCCATCCCTCTGTCCTTACGGTACTTGGCTTGCTGCCTCATGGTTGCAAGATAGCTGCCATGCCTCCAGGCATCACGTCTACACTTCAGTCCAGAAGAATAGGAAAGGACAAAGAAGAAAAGAGTAAGAACAAAGGCCATTACAGCTAGGTCTATTTTTTTAATCAGAAAAGGAAAATATTTTAGGAAGGCATAATTAACAGACTGGCTTTCATTTTTTTGGCCAGAAATAGAGTACATGGCCTCTCCACAGCCAGTCATTGGTCAAGGGAAATGAGAGTTCAAAGACTGCTTAGAACCACTTTAAGTCATTCTGGGAGCTGGGTAAAGGCCTGAACTCTCCAAGACAAAAGGATCTCTAGGTACCTGAAATAATCAGGGTTGTGTTAGCAACAGATATTGTCTGTTACATCCTCCCTGGCTAGCCAACGAAAGGAGCCCCTTATACTCTGAAAGCCCTCGTGCAATTTGCCATTATATGTTCATTTATGTGTTTACTTGTATGATGCCTAAATGCAGCACTAGACTTAAGGCTGCAGGAGGGAAGATGTTATAAATGCTTTGTTCCCTTTTCAACACCGAGCATAGCACTGGGCATACGGTAAACTCTACAGGCATCTTTATTAAACCAGCAAAAGAAACAGGATAGGTGTGGTGGTTCACACCTGTAATCCTAGCACTTTGGGAGGCCAAGGTAGGAGGATTGCTTGGGGCTTGGTGTCCAGGCCAGGAGTTAGAGGCTCACTTGGGCAACATAGGGAGATCCCATCTCTATAAAAAATACAATGCAGCCATAAAAAACGATGAGTTTGTGTCCTTTCTAGGGACATGGATGAATCTGGAAACCATCATTCTCAGCAAACTGACACAAGAACAGAAAACGAAACACCGCATGTTCTCACTCATAGGCAGGTGATGAACAATGAGAACACACGGGCACAGGGAGGGGAACATCACACCCTGGGGTCTGTTGGGGGGTTGCGGGCTGGGGAGGGACAGCAGGGTGCAGAGAGGTTGGGGGGGGATAACACTGGGAGAAATGCCTGATGTAGGTGACGGGGGGTTGGAGACAGCAAACCACCATGGCATGTGTGTACCTATGCAACAATCCTACAAGACCTGTACATGTGCCCCAGAACTTAAGGTACAATAAAAAAAAATACAAGGAGTGGCTGGGCTTGTTGGTACACACTTGTCGTCCCAGCTACTTGGGAGGCTGAGGCAGGAAGATGGCTGGAACCCAGGAGTTGAGGCTGCAGTGAGCTGTGATTACATCACTGCACTCCAGCCTGGGCAACACAGGGAAACCTGTCTCAAAAAAAAAAAAAATCCTTGCTGAAGAGGTCATCCAGGAAGCACAGAAATAGCTGAAATAGCTCCTGCGACAGGGACCTCCTTCTTTCCGTTGACAGCCCTTGGTGTTTCTGGTCAGAGAGTTCTTCCTAATGTTGATCTGACTGCCGGTGATTTCTACCCTTATGGGCTGAATTGTGTCCCCACGAAATTCCTATTTTGAAGTCCTAACTCCCAGTGTTTTAGCTTCAGAAGATGACTGTATTTGAAGATGGGGTCTTTAAAGAGGTAATCAAGGTTAAATGAGGTCACTGGGGTGGGCCCCAGGCCCCACCCCAATCTGACTGATATCAAATAGGAGATGAAGACAGACACCAGCCTGCAGGGAAGACAGCCACGGCAAACCAGGGCGGGAAGGCTCAGAGGAAACCAACTCTCCTGAGACCTTCACCTTGAAGGAGACCCTTAATCACACTTAAGCATCTAAGACCACCTCCCCCTTGACTTTGACATTGCATTTCAATAGGAGAAGTAAAGGCTGGCAGACCCGGCACTGCCTTTAATCACCCTCCTATAGATGGCAGGCATGGTGTGGAGGAATCTTTCCGGAAGGCATTGCTTTTACTTAAACACGATCAAACCCCCACCTAAGTCACATACCCCACGCCTACTCCATGGACCAAGACCCTTTCACATGTAATTTCTAGAGTTGTAAGCCTTTAAAAGGGCAGGGATTTTCTTTGTTAGGAGAGCTCAGCTATTTGGGGCATTCAAACCCGCTGCCAGCTCCCGGCTGAATAAATCACCCCTTCCTTCCTAGCTTGGTGTTCGAGAGGTTTTGTCTGTGGGCTGTCCCACAGCAATCTGAGATGGCTAGCTTCCAGAAAAGCGAGAAAATCAATGTCTGTTGTTGAAGTCACCCGGTCTGGAAGACTGTTAACGGCAGCCTCTGAAGATAAGTACAGCCCCTCTCCACTGCCGACCATCACATACTTTGAGACTCCCATCAGACTGGTTCCGCAAAGTCTTTTTTTTTGTAAGTACATTTTGTAGCAGGGAACCAAGTCAGCTCCCCTCTAACTCCAAAACTTGTGTCCTTTTTGTTTATCAAAGCAGCCAAATGGAAGATAGGCAGGGGGTTTAATTTGTTTGCGTGCAAGTTTCTTTTCCTGAGACAGTAGTGTCACTTTGCATTCTTGATCTCTCCTTGGATTGGTGATAGTAGAACAGTCCTCGCTTGGGTTTTCTTCCAGAGCATGCGCGTTAACATCGTCCAATTCTTATAAGCAAATAATAGCCAGATGTGATTCATTCTTGCCCGAAAATGTTGATACTTAGAATAAATTTATGTAAGTGTCTCTGAATACAGCAAATGTTCCTTTGTTAGTGATTTGTGGTAGCTAATGTCATAATAGTGATCTCACTTCAGCAAGATATTGGCTGTCCCCTCGTGAGTAGTGTGTTAGTCAGCAGCCACCACAATGTACTGCATGACAAACTACTTAAATCTTGTCTTAATGCCTGTGGGTTGACTAAGGCAGCTCTGCTTTAAGCTGAGCCTCAAGCTCCTATTTGCTTCACATCTCTCATTCTTGACCCAAGATTTGTGGCAGCGGTGACCTGGAGCCTAATCTTCTCATGATGGAGGTTAGAGTCTCCCAGAGGGGAAGGCAGAAATACGATGGCCCTGAAAATATAGGCTTGGAGTGAGCTTCTTTTCACTTCCACTCACATTTCATTGGCTAAGCAGTCACAAGAACAAGCCCAATGTGAATGTGTCTGGGGCTATCCTTCCTCCGGGGAGGCACGATGAAAGGAGTGAATATTTGTTCAACAGTAATCTAGTCTACTGCAGGCGGTCAGGGGAGGCCTGGGGTAGAGGGCGTCAGCCTGGGAAGGCCCTCTACCCCAGGACTAGGCTTCTGTCAAGTAGTGGGGAGATCCCAGTTAGGAGTGGTTGGATCTAAAGAATGAAGCAATCCTTAACCTTGGGAGGGTCCAGGGTTGAGCCTGAGTATTCAGAACTGTGATGAAGTCCAAAAGGCCAATGGTGTATCCAAGAGCAGGAGCCTGTGGAAAGACAGGAGTGCATTCAGGATTGTGCTCTGGGGAACCCGCAGCATTTTGGAAGGACCTGCTGGTGTGAGGATGTACATACCTGCTGGAAGATCGCAGGTTGGGAGGTTATACAAAATCCTCTCGCGGTGCTTCCCTACTTCTCTCTTCATATAGTCCTTTTCATATTTACCCTCCTCTCTGGGGCCCACTTTTTCTCCCTCTTGCTCAGCCCTGCTTTCAGACCATATCCCTTCTTCACTCATCCATGCCTCTTCCCACAAAAATGTC